ATTTCTACTATCAGAGAAGGTTGGGCAGCCTGGAGCTCTGCACCTTCCTACATAGATAAAACAAAAAGTTGATCTGATGGAGTTCTTTAAGATTATAAAAGGGTTCACTAAATCACTCATAGAGAAGATGTTTCCACTTCTGAGCAAATGAAAAACTAACAGCCATAAATATGATAGTCATTGATATAGTTTACAAGAAATTGATGAGAAATTTCTTCATGCAGAAAGAAAGTGAAACTTATTCCCAAAGAGGGCAATTGAGATGAAGATTACGTATATTTAAGGGGAAGCTAGACAAACACATTAGGAAGATGGAATAAAAGGATATGTTGATAGATTGCGATGAAGAGGGGTAGGTGGAGGCTCATACAAAGAGGGTAGAGAAATGCATTAATTACATTTATATAGCACCTGGCATTTGTAGAGTAGTCACTGTTTTATGTGTTGAATGTATGGACATTTGAGCCAAAGGTTAATTTCCCTGCTGTAAAATTCATATCTGCATTTTGTTTGTGTTGACTTCAGGCCCCTGAGAAAGATGACCATTGGAATGTTTCTTGCAGCTTTTGCATTTGTTGCTGCTGCTTTGGTGCAAATTCAAATTGATGTGAGTACCGTAACATCAGTGGAGGCTGGGAGGTGGGGAGGTGGGGAAAGAGGTTGATGTATGCACAGTTGGCAGAGAAAGAAAAGAGTGACAGCTAAGGTACTGTGCTGGTTGCAGTTATTTCAGAGTAACAAAGGAACCGAAATCTGCTCCCTACACTCTCCAGGAGACTGGGAATGTATGAGAGTAGCAGGCTCCAAACCTTAACATGACTTGCCTACTCCAGGTATACATGCTGTTGCCCTGGAGTCTTCAGGAATTAATGATCACTCACTGCTGCAAGTAATGCCCATGTGTAAATCTCAGAAATATGCAGGAGCAGGTCAGAGGCTGGGAATTTTGCAGTGAGTAACTCACCACTTGATTCTCCAAAGCCTGTTCGCCACCAACAATACACAAGTCAGGAGTGCGGTGGAATGCTTTGCACTGCCTAGATGAGTGAGGCTTCAGCAACGCTCAGTTAAACAAGCAACAGCATCCAGGACAAGACAGCTTGCTTGTTCAGCACCCCACCTAACATCTTCAACATTTAATTGGCCCACCACACATTGATAGTAATACTATCAATACTTTATACTTAATACGTAATACTTTATTCTGTGCCTCCTGGTTTCTCCAACAAGGGAAACATCGTCTCAATATTTACCCTGTCAATTCCCTTTACTGTTTCTCTCCCTTGCAAACTATTTTGGCCACTGATTTTCCACTCGTTCAATGTAAAGTCGGTGATACCATTGAAATAAAAGCTTCGTAATTACCGCACAGCAGGCCATTCAGCCTTTGAAGATTATTCACCAGAAATGTTGATTAGAATTCCACTTCTGTACGTATCTCTGGAAGAAGACAAAGGTGATGTAATTGCAATCTATAAGAGATATTGAGAGTTCGGTGGCTCATGTGATCTTGTTGTGATGCCTTTAAGGAAGCTTGCTTTTTAGTCATTAAACACCTTTCAAAACCAAAAACAATATTGCATCCTATTTATAGAAGTGGTGTAGTATAGGAAACAAAATGTTCAGTGTAAAAGTGTTGGTCTCAACTGTCATTAGAATGATACATTCCTAGCTGCATCTATTGTCTTTCTCTGCAGAAAACACTTCCAATCTTCCCTGCTGCTGATCAAAGTCAAATTAAAGTCATCAACGTTGGTCATTTGTCTGTCAATGTAACACTAAATGGAGTTTCCAACTCCTACTCACTGAACCCATCAGAGGTATGTAGGAATGATGAGCTATCTTCAAATAATTACAGTTAGATATGACATCTACTGAATTTATTGGGAAAACAGTGCAGAAAGAAACACAATCAGTAGAGAATTCCAAAGATTCATCGTCCTTTGAGTGAAGAAGTTCTTCCTCATTTCAGGAAGCTTGCCTTTTCTTCTGAGACTTTGTCCTCTAGTCAGACCCCACAGTCAGAAGAAACATCCTTTCTGCAGCTATGCTGTCTGTACCTCTAAGAAATTTGTAAACGTTGAACCCACTTGACGTTTTCTGAGTCAAAGTGCTACTATGCGAACCACAGATAGTGATCTTAAGGAGGGCTATGCCTTCTGGGGGATTCTCGAGGTGAAGTGAACGTTGCAACTGTCATTTTTTTCAGGTGTTAGACCACGAGGCTGGGAGAATTTGTCAAAGTAAACCCTAAAACCCAAATCTACCAACAGATAGATTCACAAACCATATGACTTCATTGAAATCAAACCAGTATCTTTTGAATTTCTTGCTTATTTTGTCAATCTATCACTGAGCTTATTCTTTTCCAGGCAACTGACTATGCTATTGTTCCGACAAGTAACATAAAAGGTGTTTGCGTTTCCTATGGAGGCAGGAATGAAACATTTCATCCCGAAATTCGGAATGGAACACGTCTCACGCTCCTAATAACAAACTTTCCAAACCCTGACGTGATATTGGTTAGTATATATCTGGATAAGGTGGGGTAATATGCTCACATCACCATGTTTCCTAGCTTATTAAGGAAGTGGTGCCCACAAACTTGGCCGACATACTTCTTAAGCATTAACTTCCTATTTTAGTAACAAGGATATGATCTGGATGGGATAGAGGCCCAGATTTTCTGATGGCCAGATTGTAGTTTCTGCAGCGCCAGTGAGAGTTGTGGCATCAGGCCACTGCGCAATCCCCAATGTAGCAGACTCGGGGAAATTGACAATTGTACTGGGCAATGCCCCTGCATGTGGAATCAGTGTTGCCTGTAATTTTTCTGATTGCTGTGTGGATCCCTGAGGTCTGTCTCTGTATGCAAAAGCCAAGTGTTGGCGCTGACTGATGCACATGGAGCTCCTTAGAGGGAACGTTGCAAGATGTCCTTGACAGTGTCCTTCTTAATTGAAGAGTTCAAAAGTTCCGCTGCAGTTAGCTAAACAGTTAGTTAAAAAGGAGTTAGATGATTGAAAATGTGGTTTAGCTCCTGAGTAACTGTTCAACTCACAACCCCATCCCTTTCCTTTCTACAATGTGTAAGCAGGCCATTCAGCCCATCAAGTCCACACCAATCCTCTGAGGAGCATCCCACCTAGCCTACACATCCCTGGATACTACAGGCAATTTAGCATGGCTAATCTATCTCACCTGCACATCTTTGGACTGTGGGAGGAAACTGGAGCACCTGGAGGAAACCCATGCAGACATGGGGAGAATGTGCAAATTCCACACAGACAGTCACCTGAGGCTGGAATTGAACCTGGGTCCCTGGCGCTGTGAGGTAGCAGTGGTAACCACTGAGCCACTGTGCCGCCCCACTTGCCTCACACATTCTCCAATTATACCTCCTCCAAATCCCCAACACCACCCAGACCCTGACCTGACATCACCGCTCCAAACCCTCTACTCCCAGGACTCCTACACCCCTCCCTCTCTGCCCAAGACCTGACACATCTCCTTTCTTTCTCCGATAGTCCCCATCTCCCCTCAAGACCTGACACCTCCTCTCTGCGGAACACAACACACCTCTGTCACCTCACTGTATACCTGGCGTCCCCCAGGTCTCTTTTGCCAGACCCAACCCCACAACAATTCCCACCCCCACTCCCTATCCCATGGGAGCTGAGACACCCACTCCTTCCTATGTCCTGACACTCTGAACACCTCCAGCAACCCAGGTGTTGCACCTCCACGCCAGCTTAAAATCCCTTTCCAACCCAGACATCCTAAATAGGGCATCATTTTCCTGTCTCACCTTGTGCTCTGGGACTCTACCCCCTACACACCTGGCACCTTGACCTCACACTTGCCGTACATCCTTACCCTTTCACAGGAGCTGTCAAGCACTCTGTCTCTGTTGCTGGAAATTTAAATCACAGAATACAGCAGCGATGGCTTGAAATAGGGGGCATGGGTTGACTTTCACCAAATAATCCAGCACACCAGGAACCTGTCAGCTTTAAAATGTGCTCTGCATTTCAGAAGGGGTCCTGAGTGCAGTCTCCTGTCAGAAATGCTGAGCTCTTTCCTAATGTAAAAACAGGCATAGGCAGCCCGAGGCTGAAAAATCAGCCCTATATGTAAGGGTGGTGAGTCAGGTAGATTGCTATATCAGCTCCGGTAACTTAGTTATCAGTACTAATGTGAAGTATAAAGTTGATACCCAGTTCTTAATGAGTGCAAATCTTTAAGGAAACAATCCATAGATTCCTGCAAATTGGCAATTTCAGTTGGCCACAGGATGTTTGATGTAGGCTGTGCAAAATTCATTGCAATGAAGGCACTTAATTTTTGTAAGTCAAAGTCTCTTTATTCTAATTTACCATTATGCTTGATTGGTGATTGGTGAAACACTAAATAGAAATGCCTTAGTTATTTTTATTATCAGATTCTGTTTAGAGATATCTGAGATATTCTGTAATTTGGACACCACAACACCCCCGCCTTCCCCCTGCCCCAGCTCCAAGAATCAATCCATAAATTTCTTAGAAGGTAACAGAGTAGTAGTTACTAGATGTATTAACTGGAACTAGAAGCTTGTCTTCAAAGTAACGACAAGTGCAACTTTTCATGCTACCCCTCTGGATAAGAGCACAGTGGATCTTTGCTCATTAACTTGTTCTGCTATCAAATTATTTTATTACACTATTCCAAAGTGAGTGCAAGTGAATAATGTCAGGGTTTTCCTTCTTTGTAAGATTGAGTTAAATACATCAGGACGCAAGAAAATAATTACCTCACCGGTGTGACATAAATGAACAAAATCAGAAATTGCTCGAGAAATTCTGACAGCTTCTGTGGAATAAAAAGCAGAGCTAACATTTCAAATTTGGCGACCCTCCCACTGAGTTTCTCCAGCAATTTCTGTGTGTGTTTTTTTCAGATTTCCAGCATCCACAGCTCTTCATTTCATTTTGGAATAATGAACTAGTGACTGTGTATCAACAATGGTTAATAAGGTTAATGTAAACATTTCTTTTCACAGCTTGATGATTATGAACAGAAACCAGAAGAAGGAAAAAATGCAATCAGGTAGTTTTCTCCATTACTGGCCATCTTCTTACCTTGTACCATTTTGCTCTGATAAGTAAATGCAAGATGTTGTTGTGCACATGTCTCTCTTATGCCTATGGTTACCAGTCTAAACTCAGCACATTCATCCTACTTTTATAATATTTCTTTTGATGGTATATTCAATATTTTGACAAGTAACTAAATTTGGTTTCAATCCAGATTTGCAACAGCACTTTCATATGTTTCCAACATCACAATGGATGGTACAGATTTTGGAGATTTGAATGGATTATCAGCAACAAACTACTCATTGTTTACTAAAGGAACGTAAGTGACTCTTAGTAACTTAACTCCGTCTCTGTGCCTTAATGGGGCATGTGTTGATTTCTTTCTCCTGCCCGTCAATTTTGAAGATCTAAAATCATTTTACCTAATAAGGAACGACCTCAGTAGCAACTATTGGATCATGTTGCTCTTTTGTTCTAATTAATTTTGTTATTTTAGACAGAGAAATACATAGATTCAGTTGTAAAAACGCAAAATCAGGAGTTTAATATTACACCAGTCGATGTGCGTACTCACAATCATCAGTCTGCACCATCAAACATGTATACAAGTCTTTATTGAGCCCATGATCCACAATTTGAGTACAGCATACTCCACATACTCAAAACTCTTAAACCAATTCTCCCTTTGATCTCTACACTTCATGCATGTCACTCATATATCACTAAACGTTAAAAAGAACACAAGTGACATGAGATGAATGACATGGAGCTGAGAGGGTACACTTAGCTCATTTGAATCCCTTCTAATCTTTCTGTTGCCATGGAAAAAGGTACAATTAAGCTCTTTTAATCATTTTATTGTTATAAAGCCACTGACCAGGCGGACACCTCACAATCCATCAAGATATGGATGAATGACCCTTATAAAATTCCTTCAATCTCTCATCCTTGCATTGGACCTGATCCACAAAGAATTCCTGTTCAGCTAAAAGCTGTTTAAACCCATTGGGTACTGATCTCATAAACAGCCCAGGGCAATGAGATAGTCAGGTGATGTGTATCTCCTCTCCTATCCCCATCACATAAACTGCAAAAAAGGTTACCATTGTAATGTTGGTTCTGTTACTGACTTTGGGTTGATTAGAGGAGTTAGTCCAATTTAGTCAATGGGTTACATTCAGGAAATGTTGTAATGCCTTTCATACTCTATAGAAAAACAGGCTTTGGAAAGAAATGCTGTTGAATTGCAGAACTTTAACAACAACAGTATTACTTCACAGTACATCACAGGATAAGGCATAACCATGTAAAATATGAGATGTGTGAGTAATTTTTAAGTAGTTTAATTTTGATTTGAATTATTCTTTAATTTTACCTGGGACTCCTGGTAGTTTAAGCAGAAAAATAAGGGAATTGAATGAGAGGTTGAGTTGAATACATTAAGAGCAAAAGGGTAACTAGAGGGAGGGTAGAACATCTTAAAGATCAAGGGGGTCATCTTTGTGTTGAAAATGAAGAGATGGGAGACATGCTAAATGAATATTTCGCACCAGTTTTTACTGTGGAGAAAGAAATGGAGTCCAGAGAATGCAGAGAAACAAATTTTGGTGTTTTAGAAACAGTTAGCATTCCAGAAGAGGAAGTTTGGGAGGTCTTAGAGAATATAAAGGTGGATAAATCTTCGGGACCTGATCTAATATATCCCAGAATTTTGTGGGAAGTAAGGGAGAAAATTGCAAGTCCCCTTGTAGAAATATTTGCATCATCTATAGCTATGGGTGAGGTGCCTGACAACTGGAGGGTGGCTAATGTTGTACCTTTGTTTAAGAAAGGCGGTAAGGAGGAACTGGGGAACTATAGACCTGTAAATCTGACTTCACTTGTGGGTAATTTGTTGATTTGTGGGTAATTTATAAAAGATAGGATTTGTGGATATTTATAGAGGTAAAAATTGATTAAGGATAGCCAGCATGGTTTTGTGTGAGGAAAATTGTGTATACAAACTTGACTGAGTTTTTTAGGAAAGTTGCCAAAAAGATTGATGAGGGCAGAGAAGTTGACGTTGTTTACTTGGACTTTAGTAAAGCCTTCAACAAGGTTACACATGATAGACCAGTTAGTAATGTTAGGTCACATGGGATTCAGGGTGAGCTTGTCAATTGGATACTTAAGTCAAATGATTAGACAAGGTACCTGATGTGGTTTGTGCTGAAATATTTACTACTTTGAGCTTTTACCACTCAGAGAAAGAGAGGCCAGAGGAGAGAAGCAGGTTCAAGCTTAGAAAAGATTCCCACCAGCGGATGAGCTGTTTAGGAGGTCAAACTAACTAGAAAAAGCCATGATATTTTTACTTAGAGTTCAGAGACAAAAATTAGTGAGTTTGCCTATGTCTATACATGATCACATCTGGTCAATGTGCAGAAAGTTGCTGAATAGAAACGCATGTGACCTTGTCAGTTGAGTAAGAAATCATTGTGTCAAGATGAGAATGATAATTCATTGGGGTTGAGTATCTCTAAAAGAAATTGCTGGGACAAGTGTTGAATCTTTCTTTTTGACTGCTTATAAGAATATCCTTTCAATTTGTATATATATTTATACATTAAATTTTTTTCTTATTTCCCTCATGCAATAGATTTTTATGCTGTTATTAAAAGTAGATTGGCAGACTTTTATGAATATGCTAAGTGACTGACTGCCATGGTAACCAAATTGCAAATGTAAACCTTATGGCCTATCAAGATGGTTTCACCTGGAATTTGAATTATTCAAGATTATTATCAGCTGGGATCATGACAATGTAGAAGATAGAGAGTAAGAATAATGAAGCTGTGTCCAGAATGTGTTCCTTCTTTAAGAACTGCTTCCCACTGGAAGTGTGGGGTCTCTAAATTAATCCCATTGTCCATAGAAATTGCAATGAATTTAGTGGCAATACATGAGAGAAAAGAAAGCAAAGTAGCAAGTGAGAATCAGAACAAAGTGTGGTTAATGCAACCAAACTTTGTTGACTGTAAACTATTCATGTTCAAGTTTCTGTCTCACTTAGGAAAAGAATCTCATACATCATTGATGGAATAAAATGTAAACAAACATCAAAGGAATTTGGTTTTGGAAGCGCTTTCACAATCATCATTAATGAAACAGTGAGTAGTTCATTTGTGACAAGCTGGTTCTCATTCATGTGGCATTTCAATTTTATTCATAAAACTGTTTCCCCAGAGAAAAACTATCCTTTCTAGCCCCATATCCTCTTTCAGCCTACAACTCTGTCAAATCTTTGCTGCCCTCTGATTTTAATCACAACATTGGATTGGTTGCTGTACCATCAAATGCCAAAGTTATGGAATCCCCCTCCAAAACCCCTCTTCCCTTCATTCGTTTAAAATACTACGTCTTTGCTCAGCTTTTAACCCTATGGCCTAATAGCATGTGATGCAGCTCGGTGTTCAATTTTGCTCCTACGATACATCTTGGAACATTTAGTTACATTAAAAGTGCTACATAAATGCAGGGTTTGATGTTTTAAATAGTCAAATATCTGATTGTATTAAAATGGTGTTCTGGAAAAGTAATAGTTTTGAGCACAAAGCTTTTATGTTTGTTTTTTGCATATTTACTAAAATGTACCTTAACACAGGTGAACTGATCGTGCAACATCAGTGAAACAACACATTATAAATAGAAATCACATCTTTTGAGGTATTGGCCTTGCCAGTGTATCATTGAAAATACAGAATGCACTGGCAAACAATTCACCTTCAGAGATTATTGCTTATTTATAAGATGACTTTAGCAGAAACCTGGGAATAGATTTCCTCATTGACTAAAACAGAGGGAGAGAGAAAACAATTACTTTTAAATGAGTTAAAACAAGTCAAATTCTTTAAAGAAAGGAACTGGCATTCAGACAACGCCTTTCTTCATGATGTTTAAATCCCATTTTAGCCAATGAAAAACATAGGACCGAATCTTATAGTGACATGGACTATGCTGAGAAATCCAGTAAATTCCCAGCAAGGCCATTCTCAACGTTGGGAGCAACTTGTTGCATTTTTTAACTAAGTTCTGGATGTTGAGACGTGAGTCACACAAGACAGCAGCAAGTTTCTGTTAAGAGGGGCACTATGGCTTATGAACCGAAAATCTATCCTCATTAATATACAGCTTTCTTTCCTACCACCCTCCATGGGCAGTGACACCTCACCCATCCTTGACATGAAAGTCAGAGCAGGTACTTGAGAACTCCAGTTCACTGCTTGCTCCAAAAGATCTCCAAATTGGACACTAGACCCCAACATTTCAGGTCATGCCCCATGGACACTGGCCAAATTCACCCAAGGCATCTGATATGTGCCAGTCTCTCAGGCCCCTCATGGCTCATCTTTGATCCATTTACTCCTGCACTCCAATGTTGTACCTCAGACTTCAATGACAATTTCCATTGTAATGCTGCAGCAAAGACCCTGAGAGATCAGGAGCATGCTCCCAGCTCATGGACTGGACCAGGGTGACTCTCTGGACTGTTTACTTGCTATCATAATGTTCACTCATTGGAGCCTACCTGGATGTTCACAGCATCTCTGATCTGAACCTTGACCTTCAGCCAGAGCTACCAGACTCACAGTCCTGCTGTCTTGCCATGCCATCTAGTGCAGACACAAGTCTAGGCAGCTTATCATGGTTGTCAGCAGTCCTTAGTCACATTAATGGAGGTAATTGTCAATCAAGGGTTATCTCCAATAAGAGTTTTAAGGAAAGCATCGTGGACTCGAGCCAATATTTGGGAGAGTATAGCAAGTAAAATCCCACACACATAATAGAAAAGGAGCAAAAGATCATTGACTTTGAGAATATACCTCCATCTATTCTGAGGATGGTTCACTAATGCCCTTCAGGGAAGGAAACTGCCATCCTTAATTGTTCTGGCCTACACGTGACTCCAGACCCACAGCAATGTGGTTGACTTGGAACTGCCCTCTGGGCAATTAGAGATGGACAATAAAAAATCTTGCCTATCCAGTGATGTCCTGATCCCATTAATGAATTATAAACAGCATTGAAAAGCTTAAACCACAAAGGCATGAGCTGATCTTGTATACCTTTATGCATAGAACATTAATGGGCAATGTGATTGGGATGCTTAGGATGATTAAAAGACTAGATAGGGTTTGATAAAGAAAAATTATTTCTCTGGTGAGGAAGACCAGAACAAGGGGGCAGAACCCTACAATTAGAGTGGATTATTCAGGGGATTAATGCTTCAAAAAGGTGGCTCAAACACCACTTTATTAAGGGCAAAAATATGGGCAAAAAAACATCAACTTTGTCAACAACAGCTACATCCTACAGAGGAATCAGAAAGCACTTCCTCAAAGGATGGTGGAAATCTGGACTTCTCCTTGTGACAAATTGCTGTTGGGGTCAATTGAAATTTCAAAACTGAGATTGAGGAAGATTTTCATTAGGGCAGGGTATTCAGGGTTATGAAACCAGTAGTAGGATGGTGCTGGTGGGGACAGGTGGAGTTAAGATACAGATCAGCTGTGATCTTATTGGAAAAACAGAATGGTTTTGAGGGACTGAGTAGCCTCTTCTTCCTGTGTTGCATCGCTACTGGCCTTTCCTTTTGGAGTATGTTGAATGTACATTGTGACTTTCAAACTGTGTTGCATATTTTCCCGCATATATGACAGTGTCGTATGTTTTCTCTGTTAAGTGTCACAGAGATAATTTTAAACTAAATTACATTGAAGAAATCAAACCAAACACTGTCCACATGGCATGGCAGATTCCCCAATACCTTCTCATCACAAGTGGTGAAGTGGTTTTCTCCGTCACTGGTCTAGCGTTCTCCTACTCACAGGTAGGTAACCATTTTTAATGGCGAAAAACTTTCAACGTGGTGTATTTCCAGGATATTGACAATTCAATCTGAAGCTTGTGCTGCAATCTGAAAGAATAGAGTGAGAGCAAAGATTTGTACATAACAGGTGTTGCTTCCAAGAGACCCATCCATCTTTGGGGCTTCCATCAAGGGCTGAACATTTGATATTTTATCAAGATTGACAGATCCTTAATATTGTGCTAAACAACACCAAATCATGAACAGCTACTTTCCATAGATCAGTTATCAAGAACTTACCTTTATTGATCAGTGCATTGAGTATAGGAGTTGGGAGGTCATTTTGCAGCTGTACAGGAGATTGGTTAGGCTACTTTTGGAATACTGTGTGCAATTCTGATCTCCTTGCTATAGGAATGATATTGTCAAACTTGAAAGGGTTCAAAAAAGATTTACAAGGATGATGCCAGGGTTGGAGGTATTGAGCTACAGGGAGAGGCTGAAGAGGCTGGGGTTATTTTCACTGGAGTGTTGGAGGTTGAGGGGTGACCCTATAGAAGTTTAGAAAATCATGAGGGGCATGGATAGGGTAAAAAGACAAGGTCTTTTCCCCAGGATAGGGAGTCCAAAACTAAAGGGCATTGCTTTAAAGTGAGGGGCAAAGATTTAAAATGGACCTAAGGGGCAACTTTTTCACGCAGAGGTTGGTGTGTGTATGGAATGAACTGCCAGGGGAAGTGGTGAAGGCTGGTACAATTACAACATTTAAAATGCATCTGGATAGGTATATGGGCAAAATGCTGGCAAATGGGACTAGATTTATTTGGTTGACATGGACAAGTTGGACCAAAGAGTCTGTTTCCGTGCTGCACATCTCTATGACTCTATGACTATGACAGTGCAAATTATATCCTACTTTGTATTTCTAAGCTTCAACCCGGCTAGTAACCCAATAGTATTCACCTTTTATGAAGGAGATGATATAACTCAGGGAAATGTCAATAGTTAAATGGATTGGATAGTAAGATGTCAGGTTAGCTGAAATGTTGATTAGACATAATTAGGCATTGTGGTTAAGTTACTGATCTAAGAATACAGAGACTTCCACTAATGATCCAAAAATCGGAACTCAAATTGCACCACAGCAGGTGGGGAACTTAAATTCAGTTAATTAAATAAATCAAGATGAAAAAGTTAGTAGTAAATTTGACCATGAATTTAGTGGATTGACCTAAAGACACATCTGATGCATGAGTGATCATCAGGAAAGGAAATCAGCCATCCTTAAATGGTGAGGTTTATGTGTGACTCTAGAACGCATCATCACCACAACTTTCCAAGAAGCACCACAGCATTGCTTGGCTGGTGGTGTGAAGGGCACTACCTGTGAGATCCTTTGTGTGCGCCCAGACTCTCTGTGCCACCGCACACTGCCCTTGGAGTGGCTGTGACAGGGTAGAGACTGTCTCACATCTCCTTCTGGAATATGCCAGTGGAAAGGAAGTCTGGAGAGAGATGCAGTGGTTCTTGGCGAGGTTCATCCTGAGCAGACCTGTGACACAGGACTCTGCTGGATGGGCTGTTCCCCGGGACACACAGCGAGATAAACATCGACTGCGTCTGGTGAACTCAGTGAATGTTGCTCTTTGGTCTTCCAGAGCAAGGTGTTGACCTTGACTGAGTGTTGCAGACTGGCACACTCCAAGGTCCAGGACTATGTGCTGAGGGATGCACTAAAACTTGGGGTAGTTGTTGCCATTGGTGCAGTGGGGAATGGCCACCTGTCCAAGGTCCTTCTGCCAAAGTTTATTGGGGATCTATTCAGTTATCGGGCCCTCCCGCTACCTCAAATGTATGTAAATGTAATCTTGTATAAGTAAGAAATGCCTTGGGTTTGTTTGATCTCCGTATGCAAAGACTGTACAAATTCAAACTGCTCTAGTGACTACTTATGCATATAAAGATTTTTTTATGAATAAAGTATATTTTTAAAATAAAATAAAATGTGTGACTCTAGAACCACATCAATGCTGTTGACTTCTACCTGCCCCCTGAAGTGGCCTAGTTTGCCACTCAGTTACATTCAAGAAGGTGGTTCAGCAACACCATCTCCTTGCGGCTAATTAGTGGTGCGCAATAAATGCCCTCATTCAATGAATAATTTTTTAGAAACCTAGAATTTATAGCATGGAGACAGAACTTTTGGGCTAACTGGTCTGTTTTGGTGTTTTGGCTCCTGTCTATCCTACTTTGCCTTGCTGCAGCATGAGGGAGAAAGGGGTGGAATTATATATTGATGGAATGAATTTAATTAGAGAGTGGGACGAGACTACATGTGGAACATAAGCACTGACTTAGACCAGGCTGCCTGTCCCAGTGCTAATTTTGCAGGAAATGCTGTAGTAATACTGTTGGACATGACTGGAGCAGAGTAAATTTGCTCTCTACATCTGCCTGTATTTTTATTACTATATTAAAAATTCCAAGAGGTTTTAACTCTTATCATAGACCAGAAGATTTTTGCTTAATTTCTCATCATTTGTTTTTTAGGCACCTTCCAACATGAAATCAGTACTCCAGGCTGGTTGGTTGTTGACTAATGCAATTGGTAACATTGTCGTGTTAATAGTAGCAGAAGCTTCGACTATTCAGGAACAGGTATGTGGATAATGGGAAGGAAACAAATCTACACGGATTTGCTGTTTGCTGGATCACAATGTTAGCTTCTTTGCAACATTAGACAAATACAATATTACAATATCCCTCATTGACTCTTCCTCCTCCTTCCACCTCTACCCTGTGATTGAACTGAATATGGACCTGCAATGTAAGACAATTAAGATCAAATTGGAAACCTGGTTCGGCAACCACACAATAACCATTGTGAGGAATGGTGTTACTCCACTAAGATGTAGAAATGTAACATTGATGTGGTTGTTGCATTTTCCTGAGTTTTGGTGTTGGGCATTATTTGCATGGCAATGTGGAAGGTGTTTGGCTCAGTATCAAACAACACTGCTGTTTCTTCTTGAGAATGAGTGGTATTGATAACATTGAAGAATACCACATGAATACCACTGCACTACATGGACCATTCTTCCAATCTCAGCAAACAATAGGGATATGTTCAAGAGATAGTAGGAACTGCAGATGCTGGAGAATCCGAGACAACAAGGTGCAGAGCTGGATGAACACAGCAGGCTAAGCAGTATCATAGGAGCAGAAAGGCTGACGTTTCGGGCCTAGACCCTTCATCAGAAATGGGGGAGGGGAAGGGGGTTCTGAAATAAATAGGGAGAGAGGGGGAGGCGGATAGAAGATGGATAGAGGAGAGGACAGGTGGAGAGGAAACAAACAGGTCGAAGAGGTGGGGATGGAGCCAGTAAAGGTGAGTGTAGGTGAGGAGTTAGGGAGGGGATAGGTCAGTCCAGGGAGGACGGACAGGTCAAGGGGGCAGGATGAGGTTAGTAGGTAGGAGATGGGGGTGCGGCTTGAGGTGGGAGGAGGGGATAGGTGGGAGGAAGAACAGGTTAGGGAGGCGGGGACGAGCTGGACTGGTTTTGGGATGCGGTAGTGGGAAGGGAGATTTTGAAGCTTGCGAAATCTACATTGATACCATTGGGCTGCAGGGTTCCCAAGCGGAATATGAGGTGCTGTTCCTTCGGGTGGCATCGTTGTGGCACTGCAGGAGGCCCAGGATGGACATGTCGTCTGAGGAATGGGAGGGGGAGTTGAAATGGTTCGTGACTGGGAGGCGCAGTTGTTTATTGCGAACCGAGCGTAGGTGTTCTGCAAAGCGGTCCCCGAGCCTCCGCTTGGTTTCCCCGATGTAGAGGAGGCCACAATGGGTACAGCGGATGCAGTATACCACATTGACAGGCGTGCAGGTGAACATCTGCTTGATGTGGAAAGTCTTCTTGGGGCCTGGGATGGGGGTGAGGGAGAAGGTATGGGGGCAGGTGTAGCACTTCCTGCGGTTGCAGGGAAAAGTGCCGGGTGTGGTGGGGCTGGAGGGGAGTGTGGAGGGGACAAGGGAGTCACGGAGAGAGTGTTCCCTCCGGAAGGCAGATAAGGGTGGGGAGGGAAAAATGTCTTTGGTGGTGGGGTCGGATTGCAGATGGCGGAAGTGTCGGAGGATGATCCGTTGGATCCGGAGGTTGGTGGGGTGGAAGCCTTGTGCGTTTTTTCTAATTCCCAAGAGCTTGGCAAGCCTATAATTCCCCATTGTTTTCTCTATGGCAATGTCAATCAGAGTCAACTTGCAAACCAATCAGTATCCTATTCTCAGGCAGTTTAAATGGTTATGATCATTTAAAGTTTGGCATTCTTGAGTTTGTCCTGGTGAGTGCAAAAGGGAAAGATTCAGTGACTTATCATGCTTTCCAGAGACATTCCAAAGCTGAGTTCTTTGTCGGTGGCCTTGGCGACCCATTGAACATAATTGTCTGCTGTGAACTGGGTTTAATGTGAAGTTCAGTTCACTTCGTAATTTAGAATATAACTGCAGCGTGATGTGAACAGAAACCGATGCTTCAAAACGTTATCAATGATCCAATGCATAAATAGACTACAGGTTTTTTTTTATGTTTTGTGTCATATGAGACTAATTCTGTATTAGCATTAAACTGTGTATGACCATGCGACCATCTGAAGGGTGACATATAGTGAAATTAACAGGCCACACAAAACACAAAACAAAAGCATTTAGAAAGAATGTTAGACAGAAAATGAATTGATTGCATTGCTAATCATCATTGTCTTTTCTTTCTTGCATAGTGGGCTGAGTATATCTTATTTGCTGCATTATTGATAGCTGTCTGCATGATATTCGCTTTCATGGCCTATTTCTACACTTATGTGGATCCAGCTCAAGTAGAAGAAGAAATAACAAAGAAGAAAGCTGAGGATCTAGGGAAAACGTCTAATTATTAGAATGGAACAATTCCTATGGCTCAATCAAACCTCTGAAATGGAGCAAACAGAATGTATTGTAAAGTATAGCCAGACATAATTTAAGTGCAAATGGACATTATGGCCTGAGAACAACTGGCCTTCAGTCAGCCTGTCTCTGCAAGAGATATAAATAACACGACAACTTGCCTTGATTTCCTGGTAATTGTGTTAGAATTCTCTCACAGTGGGCACTTTTTCCCAAATGCTTTCAAATAGTGCTTCAGTGTTATTTCTAAAGGCTGAAAACAAATAGTGGACTGAAATGTCCATTGCAATTCCCCATGTTCTTTCATGTTACTCCATGTTTGATAGGCTGTAAATCTGAACATCAAATGCTAACCATTTTATATGAGAAACATGTACAATTCTAATCTTTTTAGACAAGATGCTGTAATATTCCAGAAAATATTTGTTCATTCCGAATATTTTTGCACAATCTTTAAATATCAAAAAAAAGAGGCCAGCTGATCAGCAATTTCTAAAAGTATTTTAATATGACCTTACTTTTGTTCTTTTTAAACGGAATGTCAGCCAGTGAAGCAGAGTTTGCCAAAATAAATAGCAGTTCAGAAGGGATTCTATTAGCAGCAGTCAGAGTTCTCAGAGAAGAAAGGATGGGAGGAATGCATTTTAAGGAATCATGAATATTGAAAGAAGGCATAAAAAATAAAGATGACATGTATATACGTGTACTGAAAGTCTGGTTCCTTTTTTTTGTAAGTTATTTCCTTCAAATTGCATATATTTATCATATTTTCTGAGAAAATTGTCTCTGAGCTTTATACATTGACCACATAGTTACTTCAACCTAGTACTTTTAAGAAAAAACATAATTGGGCTGTGGGCATTGCCACACATATTATTGCACATCCTTATCTTTTCTGGAGAAGGTGGTGACGAGCTGCCTTCATGAACCACTGCAGTCCTTGTGGAGTAGATACACCCACAGGAGTTTATTAGAAGGCAAGCTCCAGGATTTTATGACTGGTGAAGGAGTGGCCAATATATTTCCAAGTCAGGATGATTTGTAACTTGGAAGGGAATGTGGAGGTGGTGATGTTCCCACATGTCTGCTGCTCTTGACAACCTAGATAGTGGCGGTTGTGGATTTGGAAGGTGCAGAACGCCTTTCACCATTAACTTGACCACTTTTTACTTGGTTACCTTTTGCCTAATGCCTTTACACCCGAGAAAAACAATCAGACTTCTAATCATTTCTTCATACAGACAACCTGGTAACTTGGTGAACACCAGTGGTCAGTACAGGCACTGACAAAATGATAGAACAACGATTTCCAAGTCCAAATGAAAGTGCAAAGCAATGTTTGATAGGAACCCCCGAAAAATTCCTCAAAACCAGTCAGCACACTACATCAAATGCAACTAACCTGAAGTAAAATGAAAGCAAATACTGCAGATGTTTAACAATCTTAAATAAAAACAGTGTTGGAAAAACTCAGTAGGTCTGGCAGCATCTGAGCAGAGAGAAACAGTAGTTCTACAGATGTAGACAGACTTGCTGGAAAAGTCATTTCAGACACAGAATGCTAACTCTGTTTCCCAAGGAAAAGTAATTTTGGACACAAAACGCTCACTCTTTCTTCCTGCACAGATGCTGCCAGACTTGCTAAGGTTTTTAAGCATTCTTTGGTTTAAAAATACTGTAAGGATTTGTAGCTCATTAATTGTACATGCTAAATTAAACACATAGAACATAGAACACAGAACAGTACAGGCCCTTTGGCCCACGATGTTGTGCCGACCTATTATCCTACTAAGATCAAACAACCCACATTTCACTATCCTCCATGTGTCTATCCAAGAGTCGCTTAAAAGTCTCTAAAATATCTGACTCCACTACCACTGCCGGCAGCACATTCCACGCACCCACCACTCTGTGTGTAAAGAACCTACCTCTGACATCTCCCTATACCTTCATCCAATCACTTTAAAATTATGCCCCCTCATAATAGTCATTTCCGCCCTGGGAAAAAGTCTCTGGCTATCCACTCTATCTATGCCTCATCATCTTGTACACCTCTGTCAAGTCACCTGTCATCCTTCTTCGCTCCAATGAAAAAAGCCCTAGCTCCCTCAACCTTTCCTCATAAGACCTGCCCTCCAGTCCAGGCAGCTTCCTGGTAAATCTCCTCTGCATCCTCTCTAAAGCTTCCACATCTTTCCTATAACGAGCAACATCTTTTGATATATTTAATAGATTGAGAAATTTTAAATGGCAACTGTATTCACTTGCACAGAACTGAATTAAAGCCACAACTGAAAACCAGTGAGAATTTAAATGACTTGTTAACAAACCCAACATGAAAAAAACAAATTACCTGCACAAACATAGGATTAAAACTTCGAACAAATGGTAAAAGTGTTCCTAGAGATTAAATAATTACCCCTGGGATGGGGATAACTGACTTCATAAAGGACTGGAGCAAAGCTTTTCAGATTTCTGAAGAAGGGTCCCAACCCGAAACATCAACTTTCCTGCTCCTCTGATGCTGCCTGACCTGCTGTGTTCCTCCAGCTCCACACTGTGTTATCTCTGACTCCAGCATTGGCAGTTCTTACTATCGCTATGTAAATTAACCTGCCTTGTTGCCTGAAAATTTGGCAGGGAACACACCCCTGCTGATCACAGTAACCACACAATCACTTAGAGTAAGAGAGTCATAGAGTTGTACAGCATGGAAACAGACCCTTCAGTCCAATTCAACCATGCCAACCAGATATCCTAAATTAATCTAGTACAATTTGCCAGCATTTCGCCCATATTCCTCTAAACCCTTCCTATTCATATACTCATCCAGATGTCTTTTAAATATTATAATTGTACCCACCTCCACCAATAAATACAAATTGATCTTCTCAGGGTACTGTTGTCAAGACAGAAAGAGATTTTGCCTTCCACACAAATAAATTTGTGTGATGAGTTTCAGTGCTCATGTGATGCCAAGTATGTTACGCTGGAAGAAAGACCAGGAGGCCGAAATGTTTAACAACAGCAGGAGCTTTATTAAGGAGGTGTTCAATCTGCAGGCAGTAAGGGTGGACTAAGCTGTTTCCCACCCAAAATGGCCAATGACATCACCATGATCAAAAACAGCAGTTGCTGGAAAAGCACAGCAGGTCTGGTAGCATCTGTGAAGAAAGAAATCAGGCATCACCATGACGTTATGTGATCAGACTCTTAAAAGTGACAGTCCAATATACTTACCAAATACACAACATCCTTCCCCCTTTACATCACATCTTCCTGCAATGAAAACATTCACAGTATTTGCAATCAGATTAATGGAGTGGCTGGTATTTTAACCCTTTGGGTGCTGAATGATAAGGACTGGTTGAATAGATCAGGCTTGTCTTTCCTCTGGTGTATAGTATTAAAGGGTGATCTAATTGAGAGGTTTTATATGTTTAGAGGAATTGATAGAGCAGATATTTCCTCAGATTTCCTCTGATGGAAGTGTCCAGAACAAGGGCGAGTCACCTTAAAATTACAGTCAGGCTTAACAGGGATGATGACAGGGAACACTCCCTGAAACAAAGGGAAGTAGAAACCTTTAAATCTCACACTAAAACCTGCCACAGAGTTAATTAGATATAGATTTTTTTTTGTTGGAAAAATTTTTGAGAATCAGGGATAAATGAGGCATGTATATAAATGAGCCAAGATCTATTAATTATCTATGATCAACGCATCAAACTCAAAGAGCTGAATGACATAGGTTCCCAAACGTTGGTAAATGCCCAGGCACCCACCAATTCTGAAAATATATCAAAGACCTCAACAAAAACTCAAATATAAACACAATACCTCTAACATAGTTAAATGAATCAAGACAGGGTCTGCCCCTATGTTGCTACAACCGGCTACCTTCTGATTGGAGAATATTCTCTCGTCATTCACCCTCCACTGATATGAATCAATAGCAGATGCTCTACGAAACGGTCTCCGAGTCTGTTTGAAACATCACCACATATGGTTTCAGAGAAGTAGGATTAATTGGAGTTTCTCAGCTGGCTGATGAGCTACAATGCCATCACTGGCTGGAGAGTGGAATTACAGCATGACAAGTTTACATAGATATTTTCTACTGTAAATATGGACAGAAGAATTTGTACTTATCTGACAACATGTAAGGTTTAATAAACTGTACCTAAACACAGGATTCTTAATATATTGCAGATGTCCTGTAAGTTCTATGGTATTTAAGAAAATGAAAGCAACTTTTGATGTTTGAATCCCTTTTGCAATTATTATTAGTGGCCAGGTTGGTATCCTTATGGATAAACAATGCAGTAACAGCTCTCATCCCCGCCATCTTGACCTGACACAACCTGTCCATCTGCTCTCCCGCCTGTCTGCCCCACCCATCCCATTGACCAATCCCCACCACTCCCTACTTGCGCTCACCTATAACCATCCCACCTACCTTCCCCAGCCCCACCCCTCCTCTCTCTATTTATGTCCCAGCTCCCTGCCCCCTCCCCATTTCTGAAGAAGGGTCCCGACCCGAAACATCAACTTTCCAGTTCCTCTGATGCTGCCTGGCCTGCTGTGTTCCTCCAGCTCCACAGTGTTGTCAATAGAAAATCAAGGTTGTGCACAAAATATGAATGAAAGCATTTCATCAAATTCATATTTTAAATACATATTTTAAATACATAGTCAAAGATTTATTTTCCCCTGAATGCTAATTCTGCTTCATGAGTGATACACTGTCCTTACCTCTCTGTGCAGTGACACAGAAAATTGACTCTTAATCTACATTGAGTTTCTATTGTCCTATAAATCTGTTATTTCATATCTATTGCAACACTTGATAAATTGCTGACAGGTCATTGCATGAGTAGAACACATTTACTGGTTGTGAGATATTGCTGTGCATAAATTGGCAGCAATAAGAGAATTATAAAAATAATTAATGTAAGTTGCAAAGTACTTTTGGGAAGTCAAACAAAACTTACCTTTCGTAAAGAAATGTTGACTCTGCCTGATCATAGTATAATTTTTTACATGCTCTGCTATTGCTTGCTTTATTAATGGATTCCAGCATTTTCCTAATGGAAGATTTAGACTAAATAAAAACCAAAAGAACTGCAGATGCTGGAAATCAGAAACAAAAGTAGAAATTGCAGGAAAAGCTCAGCAGGTCTGGCAGCATCTATGGAGAGAAATCAGAATTAACGTTTCGAGTCCAGTAACCCTTCCTCAGAACTGCTAAGATTTAGGCTAATTACCATGCAGTTTCCTAATTTCTGTTTGAATAGGGATGTTACTTTGCAGATTTTTCAGTCCACTGGGATCTTTCCAGAATTGAGGACATTTTCGAAGCTGACAATGCATCCACTATCCTTGCAGCCACTTCTTTCAAGAAACTAGGGTGCAGAGCAATTGGTAATAGATTTAAGCTAATGGCAAAAGAACCAGAAGATAGATAATGAGAATTTTTTGACACCAAATTTGTTTTAAACTGGGAATGCACTGCTTGAAAAATGTGCTGGAAGCAGGTTGAAAACAAACTTCCAAAGAAAAAAATTACAGGGCTTTGGGCGAGAGCTGGGGGTTGGGAAGATGGTATTGATTGGATAGTTCTTTGTGAAAATCAGCACAGACATGATGGGCTGAAGGGTTTCTTCCTGTGTTGCAAGATTCTAGAACATTGCTAAAACTCAAACAGAATCTGAGTTGAAGAAGATGTTGTTAAGTACATTCTCAGAAGCCAACAAAAATGCAACTATTGCCCTCTTATGGTTGAATCTAATATTGGAAAACAATGCATATTAGGGTCATACAGTCGAAGAGATAAGGTCAGAAATCACACAACACCAGGTTATAGTCCAACAGGTTTATTTGAAAACACAAGCTTTCGGAGCCTCAGTCCTTCTTCAGGTGTTAATGAGAGAGGTAGTATCAGACACAGAATTTATAAGTAAAACATCTAAGGGTCACACCACTGATGAGGATGTATTAAACAAACCTAAGATGCTGTTAAATCTTTAATCAGTTAGAAGTTTTTAATTGATTAATTGATTATGTAAATCCCCAAATTCTTTTCAAGTCACTGCCCTGAGAGACCTAAAGGTTCTATCAATGCAATGAAGAGGTGACATTTTAGGTCAGATAATGCATGTTAGTTGTGAAAACAAGGTGCAGAGCTGGATGAACACAGCAGGCCAAGCAGCATCATAGGAGCAAAAAGGCTGACGTTTCAGGCCTAGACCTTCATCAGAAATGGGGGAGGGGAAGGGGGTTCTGAAATAAATAGGGAGCGAGGGGGAGGCAGATAGAAGATGGCTAGAGGAGAGGATAGGTGGAGAGGAAACAGACAGGTCAAAGAGGCAGGGATGGAGCCAGTAAAGGTGAGTGTAGGTGGAGAGTTAGGGAGGGAATAGGTCAGTCCAGGGAGGACGGACAGGTCAAGGGGGCAGGATGAGGTTGGCAGGTAGGAGATGGGGGTGCGGCTTGAGGTGGGAGGAGGGGATAGGTGGGAGGAAGAACAGGTTAGGGAGGCGGGGACGAGCTGGACTGGTTTTGGGATGCGGTAGTGGGAGGGGAGATTTTGAAGCTTGTGAAATCCACATTGATACCATTGGGCTGCAGGGTTCCCAAGCGGAATATGAGTTGCTGCTGCTGCAACCTTCGGGTGGCATCGTTGTGGCACTGCAGGAGGCCCAGGATGGACATGTCATCTGAGGAATGGGAGGGGGAGTTGAAATGGTTCGCGACTGGGAGGTGCAGTTGTTTATTGCGAACCGAGCGTAGGTGTTCTGCAAAGCGGTCCCCGAGTCTCCGCTTGGTTTCCCCGATGTAGAGGAAGCCACACCGGGTACAGCGGATGCAGTATACCACATTGGCAGATGTGCAGGTGAACATCTGCTTGATGTGGAAAGTCTTCTTGGGGCCTGGGATGGGGGTGAGGGAGGAGGTATGGGGGCAGGTGTAGCACTTCCTGCGGTTGCAGGGAAAAGTG